TTGGTAGAATTCTCCAATGAAGCCATCTGGGCCATGGCTTTTTTTGTTGGGAGTTTTTTTTATTACCTTTTCAGTCTCTTCTCTTGTTATGGGTGTGTTCAGATTTTCAACATCAGTTTATTGTAGTTTGGGTAGGTAGTGTGTTTCTAGAAATTTATCCATTTATTCTAGGTTTTCAAATTTGCTGGAGTATAATTTTTCATAATACTCCGTTATGATCCTTTTTATTTCAGTTGGATCTGTTTTAATACCCCCCATTGCATCCTCTCCTGTTTTTCTTTTGTCAGTTTGGCCAGTGGTTTGTCAATTTTGTTGATCCTTTCAAAGAACCAACTTTTTGTTTTGTTGATTCTTTCTGTTGTTTTTCTATTCTCTATTTCATTTATTTCTGCTCTGATCTTTATTATTTCCTTTCTTCTGGTGGCTGTGGGCTTTTTTTGCTGTTCTCATTCTATTTGTTTGAGATACATAGTTAATGTTTTGATTTTGTCCCTTGATTATTTTTTGACGTGTGCATCTGTTGCTATAAATTGTCCTCTGAGTACTGCCTTTGCTGTGTCCCAAAGGTTTTGGTATGATGTGTTTTCATTCTCATTTGATTCTAGGGATTTTTTGATTCCATCTCTGATTTCTTCTATTACCCAATGGTTTGTAAGTAGGGTTTTATTCAGTTTCCATTTAATTGATTTTTTTTCCTTGCTCTTCCTGTTGTTAATTTTTACCTTAATTGGCATTGTGGTCAGAGAAGATACTTTGTATTATCTCAGTGTTTTGGATTTTGTTGAGGGTTGCTCTGTGGCCTAAAATGTGGTTATTTCTAGCTTTTTAGGGAAGCGCCGTATCATTTTCCAAAATGGTTGTACCATGTTACATTCCCACCAGCAATGCATAAGAATGCCAAGCTCCCTGCAGCCTCTCCAACATCTGTGATTTTCTGTTTTTTTGATTCATGCCACTAATGTCGAGGTAAGATGGTATCTCATTGTGGTTTTGATTTGCATTTCTCCAGTGGCTAATGATGGTGAGCATTTCCTCATGTGTCTGTTAGCTGCCTGAATGTCTTCTTTGGTGAAGTGTCTGTTCATATCCTTTTTTAATTGGATAATTTGTCTTTTTGTTATTGTGGTGTTGAAGTATTCTATAGATTTTAGAGATTAGACCCTTGTCTGATATGTTGTAGCCAAAATTTTTTTCAGGTTCTCTCTTTACTGTTTTGGTGAAGTCTTTTGATGAGCATAAGTGTTTAATTTTTAGAAGCTCCCAGTTATCTAGTGTATTTTCTAGTGTTTGTGCATTGTTATCGTTTGTATTGAATTTATATCATGTATTAGGGTTCCTAGCATTGTCTGTTTTTTCTTACATGATCTTTATCTTTTTAAGTTTTATATTTAGGTCTTTGATCCATTTTTAATTAGTTTTTGTATATGGTGTTATATGTGGGTCCTGGTTCATTTTTTTACAGACAGACATCCAGTTTTGCAAACACCATTTGTTAAAAAGACTGTCTTCCCCCATTTAATAAACTTTGGTCCTTTGTCAAAGATCCGCTGACCATAGGTGGATGGATTTATGTCTGGGTTCTTGATTCTATTCCATAGGTCTATGTGTCTGTCGTTGTACCACTACCAGGCTGTTTTAACTACTGTGGCTATATAGTAGGTTCTGAGATCAGGTGAGGCCTGCTACTTTGTTCTTTTTCTTCAATAATGCTTTGTTTATCCTGAACCTCTTTCCTCTCCATATAAAATTGGAGATTAGTTTTTCCATCTTGTTATAGAATGCTGTTGGTGTTTGGATTGGGATTGTCTTATATCTGTAGATCGCTTTGGGTAGGATTGACATTTTCACAATGTTGCATCTTCCTATCCATGAGAATGGTATGTTTTTCCATTTATGTAGGTCTCTTCTGGTTTCTTTCAATAGTGTTTTGTAGTTTTCTTTGTGTAGGTCTTTTATGTCCCTGGTTAGATTTATTCCTAAGTAGTTTATCTTTTTTAGGGGTATTAGAAATGGTATTGTTTTTCTGATTTCCTTTTTGAAGTTCTCGTTGGTGAATCGGAATTCAACTGATCTTTGTATGTTGATCTTTTATGTTGCTACTTTGCAGAATCTTTCTATTAGTTCCAGTAGTTATTTTGTGGAATCTTTGGTGTTCTCTACGTATAGTATTACATCATTTTCAAATAGGGATAGTTTTACTTCTTCCTTTACAATTTGGATGCACTTTATTTTTCTTGCCTTTTTGCTCTAGTTAAGACTTCCAGCACAATATTAAATAGGGGTGGTGATAAAGGGCATCCTTGTCTTGTTCTTGTTCTCAGGGGCAGTGCTTTCAGCTTCTCTCCATTGAGGATGATGTTGGCTGTTGGTTTACCAAAAACGAAACCCGTTGCCATTGAGTCAATGCCAACTTATAGTGACCCTGTAGGACAGAGTAGAACTGCCCCAGAGGATTTCCAAGGAGTGGCTGGTGGATTCAAACTACCAACCTTTTGATTAGCAGCAGAGCTCTTCACCATTGTGCCACCAGGGCTCCTCGTTGGTTTTGTGTAGATGCACTTTGTTATGTTGGGGAATTTCCTTTCTGTTCCTATTTTGTTTAGAATTTTTATCAGGAATGGGAGTTGGACTTTATCAAATGCCTTTTCTTAGTTTATTGAGATGATCATGTGATTGTTTTATTTCATTATGTGGTGGATTACGCTGATTGATTTTCTAATGTTGAGCCATCCTTGCATACCTGGTATAAATTCCACTTGGTCATGGTGCATAATTTTTTTTTATATGATGAGAATTCTATTGGCTAGAATTTAGTTGAGAATTTTTGGTTCTGTATTCATGAGAGATATTGGTCTGCAATTTTCTTTTTATGTGGTGTCTTTGCCTGGCTTTGGTATCAGTGTTATGCTGGCATCATAGAGTGAATTCAGGAGTACTTATTCCTTCCTTTTCTATGCTCTGAAATAATTTTTTTCTTTTTTTATTATTGCAATTTAGATGAAGATTTACAGAACAAATAGTTTCTCATTAAACAGTTAGTATACATATTGTTTTATGACAAAGGTTAACAACCCCACGACGTGTCAACACTGTCCCTTCTCAGCCTTGGGTTCCCTATTACCAGCTTTCCTGTCCTCTCCTGCTTCTAGTCCTTGTCCCTGGACTGTTGTGCCCATTAGTCTTGTTTTGTTTTATGGGGCTGTCTAATCTGTGGCTGAATGGTGAACCTCGGGAGTGACTTCATTACTGAGCTGAAAGGGTGCCCTGGGGGCCATACTCTTGGGGTTTCTCCAGTCTCTGTCAGGCCAGTAAGACTGATCTTTTTTTGTGAGCTAGAATTTTGTTCTACATTTTTCTCTAGCTCTGTCTGGGACCCTCTGTTGTGATCCCTGTCAGAGCAGTGCTCTGAAATAATTTGAGTAGTATTGGTGTGAGCTCGTCTCTGAATGTTTGGTAGATTCTCCAGTGAAGCTGTCCAGGCCAGGGCTTTTTTTTTGTTGGGAGTTTTTTTTATTACCTCTTCAATCTCGTCTCTTGTTATGGGTCTGTTCAGATGTTTTATCTCAGTTTGTGTTAGTTTAGGTAGGTAGTGTGTCTCTAGAAATTTGTCCATTTCCTCTAGGTTCTCAAATTTGTTGGAGTACAGTTTTTCTTAGTATTCTGTTGTGATCCTTTCTATTTCAGTTGAGTCTATTGTAATGTCCCCAGTTTCATTTCTTATGTGGGTTATTTGCTTCCTCTCCTGTTTTTCTTTTGTCAGTTTGGCCAGTAGTTTGTCGATTTTGTTGATCCTTTCAAAGAATCAACCTTTGGTCTTGTTGATTCTTTTTCTGTTATTTGAAGGACTGTTTTAAATGTCAGAAAAAAGTAAAGCAATATAGATTTCTAAGTTATGATAAATAAATGGTAATGAAAATTTCTATATTTAATGTTATCCTTGAATAATGTTTATATGTTTAAATGTGACTATTTCTAGAGTTGCAAATAGTGTGAACATGGCATCAACAGCACTATTATTGTGTTGTGTTAATAGGTTTGTTTGGATTATGTCATGGGTCCCAGGACAGAAATGCTCTAATTTTGAATTTTTTTATGGTACTGGGGGTATTATTGGCACATTTTATTGTTTTTGTATTGATATCACTTTGTTTTTTGTTGTTTGGCTGCCCAGTAGTTCAAAAGTTCAGAAATATTCTGGATTGTTTTACCGTTTATGATTGTTGTTATTATTATATGCCATCAAGTCGATTCCGACTCATAGAGAACACTATATGGCAAAGTAGAACGGCCCCATAGGGTTTCCTAGACTGTAATCTTTCGGTTAGAACTCGAGTGCTTAACAATTATGCCATCAGGATGCGTTAGTTTATGATTAGCTATGCCTAAAACCAGAGAAGAGTGATAGCTGAACTAGTTTTGCAGTTTGTTATTCATAACTTTCACATTAGAATTACTAAGTATTACACTTAGCAGTTATTAGGGTTTCTTACTAAGTTCATTTTTAAAAATTGTTTGAAAAATGATCGCTGATTCATTTAGAGAGAGAGAGGCTTTGATTGCAACATTTAAAATTGAAAAACTGAAGATGAATCTCAACTATTAATTTAAGAAGTACTCTTGGATGACAAGGATGCTTTCAAGCAGGAGAGAATAAATTGCTATGTATTTTAAAGGCTGAAATAAGGCACTGAAAACATTGTACTCTATTTGTTTTCAGTGAAGAAAACTTCTCAGGTTCCTTTTTCTCCCCTTTCTTTGTTGTTGTGCTATGATTCATTCTGTTTCCTGAGGAGTGATATGTAGTACATTTTTAAGAAAACACATACTCCTTAAAAAAAAATAAAAAGGTTTGTTATAAATTCAAAGCTGTATGTTATTCATTTCTGTAGCAAGTCCATAGTGGGGGCGGGAGCAGAGTGTGTCCTTTCTTCGTTTCTAAAATATACACTTGAGATGTGCTTTAAGCAATTTAATGTCCTATTTCTAATTCTTTCCTCCAGGAGCTACAATTAGAACATGCAAGACAAGCCTTTGCACTGAAAGATAAGAACAAAAGTGGCCTGATTTCTGGGCTGGATTTCAGTGACATCATGGTTACCATTCGGTCTCACATGCTTACGCCGTTCGTGGAGGAGAACTTAGTTTCAGTAAGTAAAAAGCAAGTGTTTTAACTTTCTACAGATAGAGGTGTGGTTCAGACTTATTTTTCACATCTCTAAGTTTTAGCTTCTTTATCAGTAGTTCTGGCAAACAGGCTTGTCTGATGGTTAAATCACTTGTATAGAAAATGGAAATTTATGTTGTAGAACTGCTTGTCTGTGGAGAGTTGTATTTAATGTAAAGATTCTGAATGTATGAATTTTTTGTGAATATGGATAAAAGTCGTGTTGAAGGTCGCATGATCAGTGGTGATATGTCCGAGTGCCCTCTGTGGCTCAATCTTCTCCCTGCCCTTTCACCTGTGCATCAGTCTCTGTGGACCAGACACAGTTTTTTGTCCTATCAAACTGCTAATCTCAACAAAGTAATCATCTGGGCCGATAGCAAACTCTTGCCATCCACGGAAAGAAGATAGATTCCTAGAATCTGAATGTTTTTGCTTTAGGAAGTTCTGCCTCAGAATAGAATACATGGAACTTGCTCTGAGTTTCACTAGTACTTGAATGTAGACTCATGCGTGATGCTCATTCTTCAAACTTCTTCAACCATCGGGGTCCTGGGTTGCCACCCGGACCCATCTGATTCTCAGCTATTCTAACCTTATGCTTCATAGTTAAGACGCAAGTGGGTTATGTGTGTAAAGGAGATGAGGGTGATGGTAAATGGTCTTCCCAAGGTCATCGCTTCATTCAGAGCCACCATCTTGCGCTCGTATATTTCCAGTTTATTACTATTTACAGAATCCAATTCAAGAGAAACAAGGGAGTTTGTAGGCAAGGGTGAGCAATTACTTTTACCACCGGGTAGTACCTCTCTCAGACACTACTGCCTTCACCTTGGCCTCCTGCCCCACCAGGCTCCCAAGCCCTTGCTATAAGGATGGCTCTTTCCTTTATTGCCTGCAGGGTCCTGTCTGCTAGAGGGATCGTCACTGGCCTCTGCACTGTTTTAATAACCAAGGCCGTGGCAGAAGGTATGGAGGAAATATGTGGGCATCAGCCTCTGTGGCTCACTTCTCTCTCTGCCCCTTCACCTGTGCATTTAGTCTGCATGGACCAGACACAGTTTTTTGTGCTGTCAAACTGCTAATCTCTACAAAGTAATCATCTGGGCCAATAGCAAACTGTTGTCATCCACTTCCTTTCAAAGAGGGTGAAACTCCCTCACTTACCCGTTTTGTTGTTCATGTGTTGTACTTATGTATAAGTTTTTGATTGCTGCTTGTTTTAAATGGAGGGAGGCCAATGAGCACTTTTGTTGGTTCAGCTGAAGATCATTATCCCTGATTTAGACTGGGGTAGAAAGATCAACTTCTGTTCTTTCTCTTCAGTGAATTTGAACATGGGCATGTCACTTTCTCTTACATATTTCACCTCCTTGACACCCATCCCCCACCCCCTACCCTCACCTCATGCTGCAACGAAAAAAATGAAAGAAGAAAGAAAGGGAGAGAGGGAGGGAAGAAGGAAAGAAAATTCTAGAGGGGAGGGCTCACTGAATGCCTTGGGGTGAGGGGACCCATTTAATCTTTTCCAACTAGATTGGATAGACCTATTATAGCCTCATTTTACCAAAAGCCATTTCCAATCCTTAGAGGAATGTGTTAAATAATAAATAGTCCTGTTTTGGGGTCACTAGTATCTGAATTCAGGTTAATACAAATATTACCTATATTTGGGTTAAGGCATACCAGTATGTGTGTGAGGGTGTTGGGGTGGGTACGTTTGCTCATCACTACCTATACTATTTTTAATAGACCTTGATGATTAAGATTGTCACGTTAATATTTCCATAAGCATTTCTTTTAGTTTTTAATAGAAAATGTTTTTAGTCATGTAAGTTTTTCTGACTCTTGGCTTGGAAAGTAGGTTTTTGTAAATTTTGAATTTATTCTCTTTTGAGTTTATGTCCAAGTGATGGACAGAGGGAGAAAGTATCTACTCATTCAGCAGAGATAATGAAGGCCAGATTGCCCCCCACACCCCTCAGGCACGAGAGAGCTTCTCCTGCTCTGTTGTATAACTTAAGGTGAACACATCCGAGATTTTCTGGGCATATTTTGGATTTCTTGGTAGTCGTACCCTTCATGATACAGATTCAGGACCCAGCACAGACTGAAGACATTTAAAAATCTTACTTGTAACAATGAGCTTAAAAAAAAAAAGTTAGGAAGATTTAATATAGTGAAGTAGTCTTAAAGTTTAAACTTACCACTTACAGTTTGATAGTTTGTTTTTTAGTGGAGAAAAAACATGTTTCTAAAATGCTCCTTATATTGTATATTGATGTTTGGTTTATCTAGGACTAGCAGGAGTTCCATAGTTAAGGGTCATAAAAAACATGTTTAAATAACCATTGTTTTTGATCTGTGATAATTATATTTGTTATTTCTGACCTTATAGGTAGATGAACCTTGAAGTCCAACTTCCAGATGTTGCTCTCTTCCTTAAAACCTAAATTACATAGACTTCCCTTAGGGTATGAAATGCACTGAGTGTTTCAGTACGATACTTTCTTTGTATTTAATGACTAGTTATTAATCATTTTAATAATAAAGACTCCTTTGAATTATCTTTGAGAAAAGTACAATGTCTATAACTATGGTTTTTGTTTTGTTTTAACTCCTTGTGATGTTATTTCCTAGGCAGCTGGAGGAAGTATCTCACACCAGGTTAGCTTCTCCTACTTCAATGCATTTAACTCCTTACTGAATAACATGGAGCTTGTTCGTAAAATATATAGCACTCTAGCTGGCACAAGAAAAGATGTTGAAGTCACAAAGGGTAAGATTTTAAAAATATATATTGATTTGACTCTCAGCATTTTCACTTTTCTTCATCTGGGGCATGAGATTGATCTCAGTTTACCACTCTAAAGCTAGATCTAGAAAGTATGTTCCATATGTATGCTTCACCTCGGCCATAATGGTCTCTAAGAATCCAGATGGATTTGATGGGATACTGAGGTCAAAAGTGAGAAAGTGGCTGTGACAGTTTTGAAAAGAACCTTGGCCCAATCTGTCAAACAGGTCAGTGGCACTGTGGCAGCGGCTTGTTTGTACTAGGAAGGAGTTGCCACGGAAAGATGGGCAAGCCTACTCCTTTCAGTGAGTTGTAGAAGGATGTTTTGAGTGACTGGGGAATAGCCAATTCTTTTACCTTATAACTCTGGAGATCAAAGTGCAAAAACAAGATAAGAGAGGGGATTCTAAAGAGATTGTTTATCTTCAAAGTTGTTTTTTCTCCTTTTGCTGTTTCATCATCTTAAGATTTTATCGTTTGCCAGCTGTTAGAAACGAGTATTCTTAGATAATTGAAGTTAGGTTTTTAAATTCAGTTCAAAATTTTTGAAATAATACTAAAATACCTTTAGTCTTCAGATTTTAGTTGGTCTAGATAGAACTTTATTGTATTTTAAGGATCTATAAAGATTTTAAAATTTGGTATCCTTCTCTTCCAGAGGAATTTGCCCAGAGTGCCATACGCTATGGACAAGTCACCCCACTGGAAATTGACATCCTATACCAGCTTGCAGACTTATATAATGCTACAGGGTAACTATTCCAGTCATTATCCATGATATTTTTATAGGGCAGTTCTTTTAAAATGTTAAACGGTGTGTTTTCAGTTCATTTCAACAATAGTTTTTCAGTTTACTAAAACCCAAGAAAGAGAGACAGGGAGATATGAAAAATAGGGAGAGACAGAAAGAGGGAGATAGACAGAGGGTGGGGAGAGACAGAAGGAGGGAAAAAGAGAGAGAAGTGGGGAAGGGAAAAAGAGAGAGAAGTGGGGAAGGAAAAAAGAGAGGAAGAAGAAGGAAAGGATGGAGGGGTAGAGGTAAGAGAAGAAAGTAAGAGGGAGGAAGGATGAGAGAAGGAAATAGGAGGAGGTAGAAAAATGAGAAAGAAGGAGAAGGAAGTGAGAAGAAGAAGTAAGGGAGGAGAAAGATCGATTTAGTCTGGATTCTCTTGAGGTATTATGAATTTCAAGAGATTTGTGGAAATTTGTCTAAATTTATAGGACTGAGGTACATGTTCAGGACTCTTGTAATCATTTTGGTTTGTGATAAACAGTCATTTAACTAAAGAGTATATACCATTTTGTGTTGGAGAGTATCATTTTCTTGAGATATGCCTGTGACATTATCATCATAGTTACCAAAGGCAGGATAAGATGTTTTATGCTTCTCTTTTGTAGATAAAAGAAACCAAAGCGCATAGAGGGTGTATAATTTGCAAAGTCTCATTCAAATCCAAAAGAAAAACCTTTATCTGTGGGCATCCAACAGAACCTGTGGGATCTACTAAGAGATCAGAATCTTTTTAGTTATCTCTAATAGTTTTTCAAGTGTAGGAATAATCTGAAAAATGGGTTTTAACCCTAGAACTGAGGACTAACAGAAGTTGACTGTACATGGGTGACTTACTGCCTTCATGGTATATTATAAATTCTTGGTCTGCCAGTGGTACTAAATGTATCAGCCAGTGTTTGGTGATTGACATGAAATACGTGGCCATGTCTCATCTATCTAAAATTCATATTTTTAGACAAAGGTTTTGAACTACCTTTATGATAATAAATGCTTTCAAAAAGCATTTCTCAAAGCTTAATCTGAAACGACCTTCTAGCTGATTGATGGAATGTACTTATTTTTAAGTAAATTGTTTGGAAACGGTAGTTCATTCACTGATTCACAACTCAAAAGGTTTAAAAGAATACACAGTAAAAAAAATTTTCTGTCAACTCTGGAGCCCTTCCTTGAAGGCAACCAGTATTGATCAGTTTTTTGTGTAGCCTTCCCAAGATACTTTATGCCTATGTAATTAAATACAGTTGCTTAAGGAATATATTTAGTATGCATAGACTATCAGTATCTATACTTCTGGCAAGAATTATTTCTTCACTTTTAACATCTGTCACTGGAATCTTATTAAATTGATGAACTTCACATTATTTCTCTGGAGTCTTTTGCTTTTTGTTGTGGCAGAACAAATTTTTTTTTCTGACTAGAGTGATCTGTGTAATAGGGAAATAATACTTTTAAACCATAGGTCTTTTTTTATTTTTCCTGAAGAAAGATGATCTTGGTGTGAGGAGTTTGTTGATGTCTAACATTTCTTTCTATCCATATTTCTGCCTGAAGGCGTTTGACTTTGGCAGATATTGAGAGAATAGCCCCACTGGCTGAGGGTGCCTTACCTTACAACCTGGCAGAACTTCAGAGACAGGTAGGAGGAGTCTCATAAATATAATCACCTTCAAAAAGCTGAAGTAGTATGTATATGACTGCCTAAAGCTTCTGAATACTCTGAAAATTAAAAACTACTTTCTAGACAAAGACTTACTTAGCTCAAATATTAAATTTACAGAAATACTCTTATCCCACAGAATATTTCTGTAGGGTAACTAGATTCATGTTTGTGTTTTTTTTTGTTTTTGCTTATTATGGGAAAGACAAGAGTGCAAACATATATAGGCTTGGCCTCCTACCTTCTGGAATTAGCAGTCTTTTCCTTTCATTTGTCTAGTCACGTTTAAAGGTTAGTGTTGAAATTCACTTTGTATAATTAAACTGATAGAGTTTTTTAAAAATACAAAACATTCTTCTAATAAAACAAATCTTTCACTGGGATTGTGCCTTATAACCAAACCAGTTGCTGTCGAGTTGGCTTCAACTCATGGTGACCCGTGTGTGTCAGAGTAGAACTATATTCCGTCGGGTTTTCAATGGCTGATTTTTGGGAAGTAGATCACCATGCCTTTCTTCTGAGATGCCTCTAGGTAGATGCGAAACTCCAACCTTTCAATAAGCAGCCAAGTGTATAGATTACAACAATAAAAAAGGAAAACAATATCTAATTAATGAATCACAAAGAAAACCTTGACTATTCCATTTTTGACAAAATATTAATTTTCTTTGTTTAATTTTAAGGATGATTAAGACATTTGCTTCTGAATCCTGTAATGTTAATGCAGTCCTGCTTCTGATTTTACAAATACCATCTTGTTAGGGAAGGAAAAAACATGAAATTACTTGAAGAATAGAATAGAACTTTTTTTAAAAAAAAAATCTTATTTAAACAGAAACCCTCTACTTCTGTAGCACCTGGAGAATGCTTCAGATGTAGCAGATGATCACATGGCTTTGTGTAGGGGTAAGGGTCAGGAGGGCCAGTCCTTGTCCTCCTTGTATTTTCCAGCCCTAATAGACACGGGACCTGTGTCCTTCATGATTCTTTGGGAGACTGTGTTGCTGTAATAGTCTAGGAGACACGGGGAGGGTATAGTGGGAGAAAGAAGAAGGCAGTAGACAGGAGAGAGAAAATAGTTAAATGGGCATGCCCCACAAAGAGCCTGCTTTTTCTTCATTGTTGCCATATGGGTGAGCAGCTAGGGATGGACTAGTTGGTGTTCACCTTTACCAAAGTGTCAGTGAAAGATCAAAGCATGTTAGTGTGGTCCATTTAGGAAGATTTGGTGGGAAATCTTTGTCTTCTACTTGAGCTCCATGAAATGATGATTCTGCCCCTGAAACTAATTAGAATTTCAAGTTCTACTTTATATAATCAAAAACAAGAACTTTTGTTGTCAGGTTGAAGTTAATTGAAAATGGAAAATACTGCTTTTATATTTATATTTTATGTTAATGTTTTAATTATTTGCTTGATGAGTAATAAAGCTTCCTGCAGATTAAAATATATCTGCAAACCATTGCAATTTAACTTCTTTTGTAGCAAAAAAAAGCTCTATCTCTTCCTATCAAAGTTTATTTCCATTATAAGTTCTCAGATCTTTTAAAAATAGATGGATTTATTCTAGTTCAATGAATTTTAATAAAATTTTATAAAATTATTACAATTGGTGACATGTTGAAATAGTTAAAGAACTCTTACTGAATTTGATTTTATGTTTTGTAGTTTACATTTGTGAAATTTGCTTTTGAATTTAGAAAAGTTACATTTTAAAGATATTTGCAGTGTTACATGCCTCTGCTAATAAAGTTCTCCCTGGAGGGCATCCTTAATATATGTATATGGGGAATATTTCATTTAGCTTATTAAAAACAACGTCAATTGAATTTAAAAGTCTCATTCCCTCCTTTCTTGGATTTTCTGCTGTTTTTACTTTTCTCTTCACTCGCCTCTCTTGCCCCTAGCAACTTTCCTAAAGGTCAAGTCTGAAACTTGTTTTATAATCTTTGGCGCCATAAGTCTACATCCCTCATATTTCTTAGTCCTTAGGAGGGTGATGTAATTTGGCTACTAGTGTGAATTCCCCTTAAGACAGACTAGGTGATGATTTGCCTGCTTTCAGTGGCAGTGTTAGCATGCATCACCTCGGAGGTCTTGTCAGATGCTTAGGGAATGGACGGTGATAAAAACCACCACTTCTTCTCCTCTCTTGGGTCTCTGATTGATATCTAGAGTGGTGGTGGAGTGCCTTCTCCTGTTTTTTTCTCTAGCCTGTGGGATGGCACAGGGTTCTAGAACCTCTAGAGAACAGACAGATACCCTCAGTATTCCTGCGCCATCCCCAAAGAAAGAACCTCAGTGCCTGCATCTTTTTATTTTTCCCTCTTACATATCAGATAGATTGGGTAGTCATACTACTGAGAGGTAGGTATAGAGAAATAAAAGTTAGTATTTTAAATGTATTTTTTTCTGTAAATTACTGTAAAAACAACACCTGAGAAAATAAAACTCAGTAGAAGTCATAAGTGATTTTTAGAATCTCATAGAAACAGATTTATGAGGATTATTTAAGAGAGATTTAAACTAATGTCCCTAGTTACATCCGTTGTGAAACTTGACCCTTATTATCCTTGGGATCTGGTGCAAGTTTCTGTGGGCCTTACTTTTCAGTAAAGTGAGAACCTTCAAAGATTTTCAAAATCCCTTTAAGCTCTTGCATTCTGTAAAATGGTGTAAATCTATGAATTTTATTTTAAAAATTCTAACTTTAACCTCCTTTTTCCTTGTAGCATTTAAAATTTCGTAAGGAATACAGACTAGGACCCAAGTAGAATAATATGAAAATATGCTTAAGTTCTTACAGCAACCAAAGTAGTAGGCTAAACTTTCTGCTGTTTTCAGTCCTGAAAAACTTTTTCCAGTTTACATATTTCAAGATTATGAAGCATTCTAAGGCAGCTATATAGACTAAATTTTAGTGACTCAGTTTTTAAGATGCTTTAGTCTACATAATTCCAGTAATGCTAAACATTACTATTCCTATTTCACTTCCAGAAGATATCTTTATTTGATTGTCTTGTAGTCTTTCCTAGATTGCCACACTAGGAAAACATAATTATTTACCTTTAGTTTTTAGAGTGTTCCCCTGTAGGAATCTACTTGAAACTTAAATATAAAGTAGGAAGAAGAACATGTCTTATTGTTATTGCAGTACTAGTTATTTTCAGCCTATGAAAGTCATTATGAAAACACTTGTGCATGGTAGAGAATTTGTGAGCACAGAAATAGAAATTATGAGAGAGGCAGTGTGGTTAAGAGCTTGGACTCTACCAATGTCACAAAACAATTTGTGTATGAATTGTTGAATGAGAAACTAATTTGTTTTGTAAACTTTCACCTAAAGCACAATTTAAAAAAAAAAAAAAAAAAGGAGCTTGGGCTCTGATTATATAAAATCTGTCCATTCTCAGTTTCCTCATTTATTAAATGAGGACAATAGTATCTAGCTCATAGGGTTAATATGAGAATTACATGAGAAAATTTGTCCTGGCACCTACTAAGCATGCAACAAATGTTAACTATTATTGTTGTGGCAGTTAACTATTATTGAACATGATAAACCTATCTGAGCAAACCCCAAAATGGACTCCAATATATATGTGACACAACTAGTTCATCTACCCTCCCCTACTTTCCATAGATAGAACAGGATGGGAAGGGAGGGAGGAATTATATCTTTTTATTTTCTTCTGTATTGCTTGAAATGTTTTACTTTTTTATTTTGTACACTGGCTACAATTTACCAGTTACATTTTTAAAAAAAATTAATTAATGATGGTGTTGACCCTGCTCACTGTGCCAAACTGTCAAACCAAGGTCAGCAGTCACCAAGAAAGACACGACTTACACATAGGCAATGGATGGAACAACATTTTACTCAGATAAAACAAGGTTGCTTCAATAGTGGGCGTCGGTTCCCTGTGGTCAGCGGGTCACTCCTCATGGCCAGCGCAGGGCTGTTGGTCTGCATGCACCCCTCTTTTGTGTTGCAGTCAGGGGACTTCATTCCCTCCCTGCTGGGAACAGATATAGAAATGAGGTTGGCCAAGTGCCATATAACACACACACTAAGCTAAGCAGTTCCTGGGAATGTTGACATGTGCTCAGGGCAAGAAGGGAGAGATGTGCCTATAGTCTACCAGCTGCTATGGAATGTGTTTTGGGTCAAGGCTCTCTGGGAAAGGGAATCAGCCCACACTCTCATCCCATCCAAGAAGCCAGGCCGACACATCTGGTCCTAAACACAGGGTTCGTTTATGGGTCACAGGGAAAGTCAGCAGACTTCAACTGACTGCCCCCCTTCCACAGATTGATATCCATATAGAAAAATATCCCTACCCCACATCATACACAAAAATCTATTTCAGATGAAATGTTCTAAATGTGAAAGATAAAAGTGTATAGAAGATAACATAGGAGAGTATATTTATGATCTTGAGATAAGCAAAAATTTCATAGAGTATAAAACAGCAGTCATAAAGGAAAAGATTAATAAGTTGAACTTCATTAAATTTAAGAACTCCTGTTCATTAAAAGATACCATTAAGAGGATGGAGATACAAACTATAGAATAGGGGGAAGATATTTGCAATACATTTAAGTAACAGAGGATTTGTATCCAAAATATATAAAAAACTTCTATAAATTTATTAGTCAAAGACAGACAATCCAATAGAAAAATGAGCAAAGACTTGAACAGAAATCTCACAAGAGGATTTCGAAGTGGAAGAGAGAGGACAACACAGGAAGCATTGAAAGAAGATGGAAGGAGTACACAGAGTCATTGTACCAAAAAGAATTGGTTGATGTTCAGTCGTTTCAGAAGGTAGCATATGATCAAAAACGGATGGTACTATAGGAAGAAGTCCAAGCTGCACTGAAGACACTGGCGAAAAACAAGACTCCAGGAATTGACAGGATATCAGTTGAGATGTTTCAACAAGCGGATGCAGCCCTGGAAGTGTTCAGTCATCTAT